TGCAACACTGTTATCGAATGCCAATTCAAGTCCCAGCTGCTGCACTTCTGATCCAGCTCCCTGCGTATGCACCTGGGAAAGCAGCAAACATCGCCCAAGTATTTAGGCCTCTGCCACCCATGAGAGACCCCGGTGGTGTTTCAGGCTCCTGGTTTTGGCCTGGCTAAGCCCTGGCTGTTGCAGCCATTTGAAGAATGAACCAGTGGGTGGAATATCTCTCTCTCCTTCTCTCTTTGTAAGCCTTTCAAATAAATATAATAAATCATATATATATATTTATGCAGATGAGTGGGTTAGGTTTCATAGGCCTGATTAGTTAGTATGAGAATGCATTCTTATAAGGCCACTCCATGTGTTTGGCCTTGTCCCCTCCTGTCTCACACCACTCTCACATGTGCTTGCACATGCGATGCTGTCTGCCATGTTAGGATGCAGTGTGAAGCCCCCACCAGATGTGGCTGCCTGATCTTGGATTCTCACCCTCCAAAATTCTGAGCTAAATAGGCCTATTTAAACTTCCCAGTCTCAGATATTTTGTTATAGCAACACAAAACAGGCTAGGAATGCACATAGTACCACTAAATTTAACACCTAGTTAGCAAGAATAATTAGTTAAAATAGGAAACGACCAGATGGTGAATATTATCAGTAGCAGCCGTATGGGAGCTGAGACATGAATCACAAAGTGGATTTGAGGGCAGGCTTCGTGCTTGCCCTCGCACCAAATTGCTAGTTACAGCTCTGCCTGGGAATTTCATTGTACATAATAATTTCTGATGGCAGAGCTATTAACTTTATTTAGTATGTGTGGGGATGAGGAGGCAGAAAATAAATGCACTGAAAGCAGGACATTATGGGTAGGATAGAACGTGAACCTACCTTTCTCTATTCCTTTTGCTCAGTAGAGCTTTAGGATTTGAGGTTCAGCCAAAGGTTACAGCATTGCTTACAGGTGGGGACCTTCAAAGATCAATGCTATATGCAAGGTGAAAAATGTGTGCCTTTCACTAAGTACAGCCACCTCTAAAACCCTCATTTCCAGGATCTGCAGCCTTAAGGATCTGAGAGAGAGTGACTCTGAACAGTCTGTGTTGAGATGTCCCCACATCTCTTCAAGTGGAGTCTTCTGCTAACATCATACATTAGCCAGAAGTTTTAGCATTAAATGTATTAGCATATGAAGTCCTAACTGTAGAATAGAATGAACTAAAATTTGGCTCCCTATTATGCAATTTACAACATTTAGGTCTCTAGATTTTTTTCTCATTATTATCTAACTAAATATTTCTTTCCAAAGTCCTCACTTAAACTCAGAGTTGCTTGTGAAGCTTAGGGATCAACCATCATCCATTCCATTTGCCTCTCTCCCATGCTTCCTTTAGAGACCCCCACCCAAGTCTCGTTTCCCAGACCCTGGAAGCATAGGCTAACGAGCTGGAGTGGCAGTATCCCAGGGGCTCAGCTTCTTGTCCACCCATCTAATTCTCTCTCTCTCTCTCTCTTTTTTTTTTTTAACGGGCAGAGTGGACAGTGAGATAGAGAGAGAGAGAGAAAGGTCTTCCTTTTGCCGTTGGTTCACCCTCCAATGGCTGCCGCGGCCGGCGCACTGCGGCCGGTGCACCGCGCTGATCTGATGGCAGGAGCCAGGTAACTTATCCTGGTCTCCCATAGGGTGCAGGGCCCAAGCACTTGGGCCATCCTCCACTGCACTCCCTGGCCGCAGCAGAGAGCTGGCCTGGAAGAGGGGCAACCGGGACAGAATCCGGTGCCCCGACCGGGACTAGAACCCGGTGTGTGGGCGCCGCAAGGCGGAGGATTAGCCTAGTAAGCCGCAGCGCCAGTTCCATCTAATTCTCTTAAGTGATGGCATTTGTGGAGGGCTGAGGATCACATGTCTTTCACAAAAGTTCCCACTCTCTCATCTTCCAGCTTAGAGGGCTTCAGACTTCTCATTAGTAGAGAACATACCCATAGTTAACTCAGTTATAAAAGTGTGCTCTCTGAAATACCAGAAACGTTATCATTGAGTGCCAGCAGGTAAAGTACTACCTCCCTCCTTTGCTCACCACGTCACTTCAGTCTCTACGCTGCCCAATCATCCAGATGCCCTGAATTTTCAGAGACTTTAAGTGGCATTAACTTAACTACCACGGTTTCCACAGATACAGAGAGAAATGTCATCAGCAAGGAAGCCAGTCTGGTATTTAGAGAGATCCTTGGATCCACTTGCCCTTTAGTCTGATATGTTATGGGTTACAGTCAGGCTAATCTGATCACTTCATATTTAGGTGTGAAGGACTTGAAAAGAATGAACTTGTTAGCTGAAGAAATCATGAATGGATAGGGGCTTGAGTGGGAGGTGTCAGCTAAAAAGATGTGCTTGTGAGTCTAAGGCCATCTGTGAGAAAATCAGGAGAAGGAAAGGAAAACAATAGACACTAATGTGCCCTCTTGAAATCAAATCCCATGGAAACCAAGTACTGAATGTATCAACCTCAGGGAGGGGAAGTGCCCACTGCACAGCCAAGCGTATTCTTTCCATGGCTACTAACAAATTTGTTGTCTTCCAGGTCTAGAGGTTAGATGTCTGAAAGGTTTCTCCAGGGTCACATTCTTTCCGGAGGCTCTGGAGGATAATGGGTTTCTTTGCTATTTCTAGCTTCTAGAGGCTGTCCCACTTCCTTGGTTTGTAACTCCATCTTCAAAGCCAGCAGCATTGCATCTCGAAATCTGTGTCCTCTGCTTCCATAATCACATCTTCTTCCCTGATGCTGGCCTCTCTTCCCTCCTCTCATGGAAATCATTGTGATTACATCAGACCTCCCTTAGTAATCCAGAAACATCTCCCAATCTCAGAAATTCTTAATCTAGGTGTACCTGCCATGTCCCTTTTCCCAAGGAAGCTAACATCTTCACAGGCTCCACAGATGACGCTATGGAAAGTGATAACTCAGCCCACCACACCAAGGTCTCGAGGGTTGTTTCCTGTTTCCAGTGTGACTTTTGGGTCACATTGTCATAAAGATAAGTGGCTTCAGTGACGGTCATCACCTTCCCAGCTTGTGTTTCTCCTATCACGTCCCTGGATTATATGGAACGTTGATTGTCTACCCAGGGCCTATCTCAAGGTCTGTGTTCAATACCAAGTCTTATTTTTAACCAAAGAAAAGACAGGAAAGAAGTATGAAAGAGTCGATATTGAGTCATAGGATGTTAGAACTTGAGTGAATCTAAGAGGTTGGGTCATCCAATCCTCTTCATCTTATATGAGAGGAGAATGAGGTGCGAGAGGCCGTGTGACATGAGAAACTGCTGCCTTTCTAATTCTCTTTTCATTGTATCCCGTGGATTGTGGACTAGACTTGGGAAGCCACTGATTATGTAATCTTGTTATTTTTTGCACCCCTCCCATGATTGGTTAAATAATGTCATAGTAAAAATAGAAAAAAATAAGAAAAATAAAAGCTAAATTTCCATGAAACTCACTGATCCAAGGCAACCAATGTTGTTGATGTAGAATAGGGACCGAAGTGAGTGTGGAAGGAAAAATCAAGTTTTCCTTGGATTTTTAAGAAATGTGGGGCTGGTGGTGTGGTTTAACAGGTTAAGCTGCTGCCTGCAATGCCAGCATCCCATATAGGCACCAGTTTGAGTCCTGGCTGCTCTACTTCTGATCCAGCTCCCAGATAATGCACCTGGGAAAAGCAATGGAAGATGGGTCAGGTTCCTGGGCCCCTGTCACCCATGCAGGAGACTCAGAAAAAGCTCCTGAATCCTGGCTTTGGCCTGGACCAGCCCTGGATATTGCGGCCATTTGGGTAGTGAACCAGCAGATGAGATTCTCTCTCTCTAGCTTTTCCTCTTTGTAACTCTGCCTTTCAAATAAATAAATCTTTGAAAAAAAAGCTTGCTTTTCTTCCAAGCTTATAGAGAATCATTTGTTGAGGGCTCACTGTGTGAGAGGTTGCCTTAAGTCAACAATCAAAGCAAATTAAAGACCAGCTCCCTGCTAATGCTCCTGGGAAAGCAGCAGAGGATGACCCAAGTCCATGGGCCCTTGCACCAACGTGGGAGGCCTGGAAGAAGCTCCTGGCTCCTGGCTTCGGACTGGCCCAACTCTGGATGTTGCAGTCTTTGGAGAGTGAACCAGTAGATGGAAGACCACACTCTGTCTCTCCCTTTCTCTCTGTAACTCTGCCTTTTAAATCTTTTTTTAAAAAAGATAATCAAAGAAGATTTCATTGACATTCACTATTTACCAATTGGATTTACCAAACTCCTGAAAATATAAAGACTTTAAATTAAAATTTGAAACACAGGGTCCAACAATGGAGCATAGCGGGTAAAGCCGCCAGCCTGTAGTGCTGGCATCCCATATGGGGGCTGATTCAAGTCTCAGCTGCTCTCATTCTGATCCAGTTTCCTGCTAATGTGCCTGGAAAAGCAGTAGAAGATGGCCCAAGTCCTTGGACCCCTGCACCTATATGGAAGACCTGGAAGAAGCTCCAGGCTTCTGGCTTTGGAACAGCCCAGCTCCGACTGTTGTGGCCATTTGGGGATTGAACCAGCAGATGGAAGACCTCTCTCTCTGCCTCTGCCTCTCTGTAATTCTGCCTTTCAAATAAATTTTTAAAATATTTGAAATACAATAACTTTCAACTTAAAACATTAAATATAATCTGTAACACATAAAAGCTTGTGAAATATAAAGTGTATTCATACCCCTTTTAAATTCCTATGGATTGGAATCTATTCTTCTGCTTGACTAGAGTTGTTTAATATGCCAAAATTAGACAAGCCAAAGCACTTAAGTGTGGTTAATATATGGGGGTCCAGAATCTGGGCCTAGCTTGATGAAGATGGGAGGAATAAGTGCAAGCGTTCCCACTTGGTTCAACTCTTTGTCATTGGGCTTCATGGTTCCCACAGGCCTTGTTTGCTAATTCGTGGTTCATTTCTTTCTGTGTTATTTGTCAAAACAGGTTCTCCCATACCACAAATCAGCCCAGAATAACAAGTCAGTTTATTCTAGAAACCAAATGAACACTCTCATGTCACTGGTATCTTGTGATACAATTCATTTGTAACTATATTTTGGAACATGGAAATACTTAGGGTAATAAGCTAATTAGAGATGATGTGCATCATTCCACTTGGAGAGTATAATTTTCACTTCTTGGTAATATTGAAATCATCTGTGTTGAGCAGAGGAGCTAAGTAGAAGAGAAAGAAGGCATTGGCAAGGATGTTTCTGAGGTGACTTGGAGGTGGTGGGTGGCGAGTTGGGCTCTTTGAAAACCAAAGTTAATTTAAGACCATAACCCGACTATGACCTGCAAGCTTCTAAGAGTTTTGAAGAGGGCTAATTGATGGAATCTGCCGTTTTGCCATAACCGGGTCAAGTTTTGATCAGCCAAGTATTTTGCATATGAACCATTTCCTCAGAAATTGCACAAAGGGCGGTGGCAGCAGTGAGTAGTGTGAGCTTCATAAGCAGTCACAGTTCTCTGGAAGCACTCCGAAATGTTCTCTGTGCAGCCTTTAATTGTAAACCATTGAATACCACCTGAAGGAAAGAAAAGAGGTAGATGTAAGGGAACTGTCTTGGGAGGTACAACCTGCCTGGCCATACTTCAGATAACCAACTAGAAAACAAAACAAAACTAGACTAAACAGAAAGCAAAAACAAAACTAAAACCTAGGTTTTCTACCTAGAGTTTCTACCACTAGGAATGGCTCATTTCATCATCTTGCCCTTAAGAACTCTCGCATAAACAATTTGAGTTGAATACATGGGACTCCACAAGCCTTGAAATTAAGCAAGGTGGCTTTCAGACTCAAGATGATAGAAGCCATGCAATTGCTTTGCCTGTGTAGCGGCTGCCTGAAATCCTCCTGATAATTATCCCCTGGCTTCACCCAGGTCATGAGTTTTTCAAAGGGCTGAATCCACAAAGGGATCATGTGGATGTGCAAAAGATTCTCAGAAATGGAAGCTTATCCATCACCATGACCTGACTTAATTTTTTCCTTGATTAAAGAAGTCGCATATTTACTGTTGAAAATGCAAAAAAATATATAAAAGTGCAAAATAAATGTAACATCTTGTAATCGCACCACCCTAAATGTCAGTGGTGTTAGGGAAGAAAAAAGCAATTCCTCAAAGGCAGCAAAACACATGAAGTTTGGATACTTAAGAAAACAGCATTCAACTCAGGATGATTTGTGCTTGCCCATCCCCAGGTCATTAGGTAATGCCCAGAGTCAGTGCTGTTATCACAACTGGATGGGATTGCAGGGTGGAGGGGGAAAGAGGTCTTGGTCAGGGATGCTGTGATTCAACCTACCACATAAAAGACTGCCCTCTGTGACAAAGAATTAACCTGCCCCAAATTCCCATGGTGCCCAACTTGAGAAACCCTATCTATAAAACTACCAAAAGTGTAAGTTTTGCTTCTATTTGTTTCATGTCAGTGTGAAATGGCAAAGTTTCCAAGAGAGGGACTTGCTCTTCCCACCTCAATGTACTCTTTCTGGGCCTTTTTCCCACCAAGAGCTATTTTGCCAGCTAAGCTTCCAGGTTCTTTCTTGTGTGTAGAGTTAATGCTTTCATACTCATTTGGATGCCAGTCTGATTAGATGACACATTGTTCACATTCAGGAAGAGATCAGTCTCTGAGAACCAAGTCTCTAGTAACTGTGCAAATAACTAGAGGACTTCAGAAAATTCATGGGAGAGGAGTGGGCATTTGGCGTAGTTGTTAAGATGCTGCTTAGCATACCGATGTCCTGTGAGTCCAGCTTCCGATAATGTGGCTCCTGGGAGGCAGCAGGTGATAGTTTAAGTACTTGGGTCCCTGCCACCTCTGTTGAAGACCTGGATTGAGTTCCTGATTCTTGGTTTCAGCCATACTGGCTGTTGTGGGCATTTTGGGGAGTAAACCAACAGATGGGAAACATCTGTCTGTCTGTCTGCCTTTCAAATAAAAGGCAAAAGAAGAGTATGGAAAATGGACTTCAAAGATATTCACTTTGGTGGAAACATAATTTTGAAATCCATTTTCAAAAAAAATTTGGAATCCATCCCTAGTTTTTCATAGTGTGTAATTTCCATGAACTTTTTGAAATACACTTGCGTTCAGTCTTTCTGTGCCTCAGATTTCTCATCTGTAACATGAAAACAATGGCAGGATCGATTTAGTTCATACCGTTGTTTTCTTGTGTATTGTAGTCCTGGGAAAGCCCTTTGTATACATCTGGCTTGTAATAAATGTTCAGTGAATATTTGCTCTTACACAGACTTTCCCTATGATTATTTTAAGTTCATATTTTTAACTGTCAATACTTACCTTTGGTGTGGACCTCTTTAATACAGTACTGACCAGGCTTTGTTCTGCACGTTCCAAAGTCTAAAAGACATCCATGGAAGGGGACTGAGAGGTTGCATGATCTGCATATCACACCTCCAACATCTCCAAGTATAGAGGCAAAAAAATAAGGGACAGATAGGGATGGAAACCAGGGAGAAAGAAAGAAAGAGGAGGAGAGATCCAGAAATAAATCAGTGATTTTCAGCTTTTAAAAGAAGTATTTTAAAATTAATTCTAAAAACTTGCATAAATTAAAATTATTTTCATTTCAAGAATTTAATGAGAGAAATTTCAAAGCATATGCTACATTCATGAATTGGAAACACCCTGAACTTATGAGAGTAATCAGAAATAAAGCCAGGTGGTCTAACCAACTCAGTTAAAATTAAGTCAGTGCTTCAGTGCTTAATTAAATCAAACCAAAGTTATTTCACCAGAAAATTTAATTTTAATTTTAGTCACATATCCACTGTTAAGGCTTCATTTCAATGGCTATGGTGCTGTATTATACTTAGCAGGTTCTTCATGAATATTTGTGGAATAATGTTTACATGTTAGTTCCTTCAATACTCAAATTTGGTGACTCAAAAGCATTATTCATTTTGGTTATGTAGAAATATTTCAGAGATTCTTGAGACCTAGTCAACATAGGCAAGGTTGGGAGACATTATAAAGAATGGTTTCCATATTCCAACATATATCAGTTTATTTGCACAGTTGAAAAAAAATAAACACAGATTCCCTGAGCTGCCATAGAGCTGAGTTAGAATCTATGGGCAGTGTGGCCTGGGAATCTGTATTTATATATATATAAATATCTGAGGAAATGTGATTTTGCTATAAATGTCTGGATCAGTGTTTGAGAACCATTAAATCCATTGATTCAGGAATCTACTTTGTAATAACTTCTTGCAGGGAGCCTTGGCTAGTAATGAAAATCCTGTGATCAGTAAAAACAGTTTAGATTGTTGGAAGATTTTGAATTTGAGCTAAAATTTGTTTTAGTGTTTCCATCTTTCAATACATGGCAACCTCTGCCCTATCACTGCTGTTCACTGATAACCCCAAAGAAGAGTTTACTAGACATTTTTTACAGTGCATTTTACATCTCCCTCTGCCATATTGGGAGTTAAAAGATATAATAGGAAACAGTCTGGCTGATGAGGCTAAATCAACTATTGACTTCTCTCCAGATTTGACCTTATCTGAATAATCTTGGTAAATTTCATGTTGCTTCTCCTACTAAGTATGACAGACTTGCAATCCATAATCAATGATCACACAACAAATTTTTTGTCAGAAAGGAAAATATGGGGCAGGTGCTGTGGATTAAGCCACTACTTGGGACATCTGCTTCCTGCATCTCGTATTAGAGTGCCTTGGATGGAGTCTTGCCTCTGCTTCTGATCTGGCTCCTTGCTAATGCACCTGGAGGACAGAAGATGATAGCTTAAGCATGTGGTCCCCCTGCCACTCACATGGGAGACCTGGGTGGATTTCTGGCTGCTGGCTTTGGCTTGACCTAGCTCTGACTGTTGTGGGCATTTGGGGAGTAAGCAGCAGATAGAAGGTCCCCCTTTCCCTTTCTAGGTCACTCTACCTTTAAAATAAACAGCTTAAAAAAAGAATTAAAAAAAAACAACAATGAAACAAATGCTAAGGACTCTGCAAAGCAACTTACATGCATTAGCTCAATTATTTACCAAAATATGTCTTTCAATAGGTCTTGTAGTTGTCCACATTTCAAATAAAACTGAGACCCTAATAATTTGCATAAGTGGCAGAGAAACGTCTGAGGGAATCCAAGCCCTTGTACGTAGTAAGAGCGCAGTGTCCCTGGAGCGGTCTACCTTTTGTATATTCCAAATCTCCTGATCAACCTCTTTCTGCTGAAGATCTTGGCTTTTCCTGGAGCAGTGTCAATTGTTTGTCTGGAGTACTAGAGCCGTGTGCTTCTTCAAGTTATCCCTAAGTGATTTTGCTCTTGGATTTGTGACAGCTTAATCTCAGAACTTGCCCTTAGAGCCTCACTCAACTCTATGATGTACACCCCCTCCACCCCCTACCCCAGTGTGAAGAGCTCACAGATATTGAAAGGAGACAGAGTGGGGATGGTGAATGGTGAAAAGGTAGAGAGAACAAAGGTCCCTCTAGGGTAATGTGGAACATTTTCTTAACCTAGCTGGGGAAGCAGCCTGAGCTACAAAGCCAAGTGTGATGATGAAAGAGATATGAAGAATTTGGTTGCTTAGCTGGGAGAAGAGCAGGCCCTGGCGCCAAGGCCACGCAGAAGGCCAGGTGGCTGCAGCTCTTGGCGGCTGGTCTGGGAGTATGGTGAAGACAAAGAGCCCTCCCCTCCTCCCTGCAACAGGCTTTGCTTCTGTTTCCTTCAAAAAAAAAAGATGAACCTTTTTCTCTGTCCTCTAAAAGTCACAACCAAATTCGAGGAGTGGGAGATAAGACGGCAGAAGCAGCTCACCACACAAGAAACATTTTTCTTAAAGGACCTTGTACAAACTTTCCAAAGGGTGTAAAACTCCAGATCACTTCTCTCAACAGCTCTTCCCTGCTGAAGAAGCCCCTCCCAGCCGCTTTCCCTCTGTTCTTTTCAATAATCTCTTTTGTTTAATCGCCTTCTCAGTTTGTTCATGTGCCTCATAGTTCATCGCAGGTAGAGCAAGTTCCTCGGGTTCGTATTTGTTGTAACGATACCTGCACTTTGTCTAAGGTCCTGGACTGTTTAGCTGGGAAAAGTCTGTTCTAGCTTTTCTCTCTCCCTCTCAGACCATCTGTGCTTCTGATTCCATAGCCAATGTCCACTGCCGCCTTCTTCCTAAAACCTTGCCCTGACATTCTTCACTTTATCTGAGAATGACACCTTAGCTTGCAGGCTTTTTGTTAATAGTGATTACTCAGTTGCCTGAATACTTAGAAATATGTTCTCAGACCCCATTTCCTTTCTTCCAGTCCCTATTTGAAAATGCACTATTGATTTTATTAGTGTACTTACTATATGATATCATCCAATTTTAAAAAGTTTATTTGAAACCAGAGTGATACGGAGAGAGAGTGCAAGAGAGAGATCTTCCATTTGCTGATAAAACAGCTGGGGTTGTGCCAGGCTGAAGCCAGTTGCCAGGACCTCAGTCTGAGTCTCCCTTGTGGGTGGCAGGCACCCAAGCACTTGAGCCGCCATCTGCTGCTTCCTGTGGTATACATTAGCAGGAAGCTGCATTGGAAGCCAGGTGGGACTTGAATACAGGCACTCTGATACGGGATGTGGGAGTTCTAAGGGGCAACTTAACCTCCTGGGTCACAACTTCTACCCTGAGATAATCCAATTAGATAATTAAGTTTAATGTTTCAGGTTAGATGAATAATGAATAATTTCCTTATATCATCAATTTTGAAGTATGCTATTTGTGAGTTTATTATAGGAGAAACAACTAACATATAATTATCTAAATGTGTATTATAAACCATATAAATATAGAGATATTGAACATATAGTATAAATCATGATGATGGTGATCTTTTAAGATAACCACTTCTGTCTTCCTGAGATGCAAGCAGTAAGTTCCAACAACAAAATTTTTCCTTACGCTGAATTTTCTTCTTTTGCCCTCGCTTCTTTCCTAAAGGTCCAGAAAAATTAATGTAATCCCTGAATCATTTCTTCATGATACCCAAGACACTGAAGGCATTGTCTTGCTATTTCTCACCTATTCAAATGCTCCCCTCTGTGTTCTTTTTAGAAGAGAGATATAAGAAATTGTAATGCATCGGAGACCCAAGCTGTGCAGTTTCAGTTTCTTGTTGTCTTTTCTGCATGGGGTAATCAGAATTCTACTGTGCACTGTACTTAGAAATCAGAGTATGTGGAAACCACCAATTGGTGTTCTGTGGGCCAGACTGAGTTAACTAGAGCTTTTGAAAATTGTATTGGTTGATAATGTCTAAAAATTGAGAGTTTCCCCCATAAGCCTGAGTTTCTAAATTTTCCCAAAGAATCAGCAGAAGATTTAGCAGTGGTAGACCGTGCTTTTTCCAAGGCAGGAAGTATTTGTGCCTGAGTATCAGCCTTCCCTCTTTGTGTGGTAGTTGATGGACTTGCCCCATTTTTATTTTCTGGCTAAACACTTTATGCATAATTTGAGTTGGTAACTCCAGTATTTGGCACCAAAATTCTCTAGGTCTCAATATTAGAATTTTATCTATCTCTGGGATTCCTTATATATTCTTCCTACTGTCCTGTGGTCTCTGGACTAATAATATCAGCATCACTTGGAAGCTTGTTGGAAACTCACTCTCAGGCCCTCACCCCAAATGTACGGAATCAGGCTCTTCATTTTAATGAGATCTGCAGGTGATTCCTATACTGCAGTGGTTTGAATGTGGGTGGTCCTCTCTGAAACATGTGTGAAACCTATCCCTTCTTTGTGGGATACTGATAGACCAGGTGAGACCTTTCAGGGGTGATTAGAGCTCTGCCTTTATGAACAGATTAATCCATTCATGTGATGGGTTAATGACTTAGTAGGTTATCAGAATCCTGGGTCTGCCATAGGAGCAAAAGGCAGCGTGGCTAGGTCTCCTTCTAGTGTCCCGTCTCTTGCCTGTGCTGCCAGAAAGAGGGTCATCACCAGATGTGACCCCTCGACCTTGGACGAGAACTGTGAGCCCAAAAAACCTCTTTGTAACTTATTCAGGCTATGGTACTGCATTGTTAGCAACAGAAAGACTGAAACGTATATTACATTTGTAAAGTACTACTGCAGGAAGCTGCCTTCTGCTGCTTCCTCTGCCATCTTCTCACTCTGAATGACTATGCGCTGTCTCCGTCTGAGTTCTGCATAGAACAGCTGTGCTTCTTACTGTCTCATATTTCATTGATAGACTCCACTGTGGTGCTCGACCATGCCCAGCTGGCAACATTACCATTATGAATATTTACCCAGCTTGAGAGGCTTTTATGAATTCTGTAGTGGGAACTGAAATTTTTCTATTACCTGCTTACTTTTTTTAAGCGTAGTCATTTATTTTTATTATATTTGAAAAGCAGACAGGCAGATGGAGAGATATTTCCTTTTTCTTGTTCCTTCCCCAAATGTCTACAATAGCTGGGGTGGGGCTAGGTCAAAGCTGGAAGCTCAGGAGTTAGTCTGGGTCTCCTACATGGGTGGTAGGATCTAACCACTGGAGCCATCGCCTACTTCCTTCTCAGGTGTGCGTTATCAGGACGTTGGAGCTGATGAAGAGTAGCTGGGACTTGAACCAGGCATTCCCATATGGGATGCAGGCAGCCCAAGTGACAACTTAATCTCTGCACCATGTGCCAGCCCCTATATGATTCTTCTGTAAATGAAGGATCGTTGGAGTAGATGGCGAAGAGCATGTCTAAGAGGAAAAGTTTGGGCCAGCACTGTGGCGTAGTAGGCTAAGCCTCCTCCTGTGATGCCAGCATCTCGTATGGGCACCATTTAGTGTCCTGGCTGCTCCTCTTCCAATCCAGCTCTTTGCTTGTGGCCTGGGAAAACAGGGGAAGATATCCCAGGTGCTTGGACCCTGTACCTGTGTGGGAGACCTGGAAGAAGCTCCTGGCACCTGGCTTCAGCTCAGCTCAGCTCTGGCCATTGCACCCATTTAGGGAGTGAGCCAATGGGTGGAAGACCTTTCTATCTCTCCCTCTTTCTGTAACTCTCCCTCTCAAATAAATAAATTTAAAAAAATCTTTAAAAAGTCTCCTAAATCTTATTTTAAAAAAAAAGCAAAGAAAACTTCCAGGAGGCCCACATCTATGCTCCTTTTGTTCCAGTTAATTTCCTTGGACAATATTTATAAGGGCTTCTAGCAATATTAAAAGCAACAACAACATTAGCAATGATAATAGTGATATGTGGTATGCAGGACCACATACGATCTAACAGCTCTGTTTCTTCATCTATAAAGTGAGAAATAATAGAATCAAAGATACAGAGCTGTCACGAGGATTAAATGATTTAATACAAATGAAATGTCTTGGACAGAACCCAGCATTTAGTAAGTGCTCAATAAGTGTTAGTGCCTATTATATTATTAATATTAATATTAATTAGCTGAATGCCTATTCAGGCCTTGTTTAGGCACCCAGAGTACATTAGAGTGAGAAGTTGGTTGGTGCAACAATATGTTTAGAAGGTGGCTTCTACAGCAGTGCTGTTCAACTTGCCTTATTTAAGGCCACTATCCACTTAGTCATATTGTAATACAGCAAATTCTTTTTATTTGTACCTTGTTAACTTACCACATAATAGGCAGAATAAGATAAAAACACCGACAAAGACAATCTTTCTCATTCTCAGATTTTCAGTCAAAAAGATAAAAGAAGGGAAGACACATATCACCATTAAACCTTTCCTAGGGAAGTAATAAAGTTAAAGATTTATGTTAACAATTAAAAATATAATTAATTAATTGATTTGTTAGAAAGGCAAAGTCATAGAGAAAAAGGGAGACATATGCACAGAGAGAAATCTTCCATTTGCAGATACATTCCCCAGATATCTGCAACAGTCGGGGCTGGTCCAGGTCAAAGCCAGGAGCCAGGAACTGGTCTACAATGTAGGTAGCAGGGACTCAAGTGTTTAAGCCATCATCTGCTGTTTTCCTAGGTGCATTGGCAGGAAGTTAGTTCAGAAGCTAAGTAACTGGGACTGAAACAAGGCACCCAGATATGGGATGTGGTCATCCCAAGTGGCATGTGAATATACTCCACCACACAGCTCCTCCTGTGTTAGCTATCTTATTAAGGGAAATGACTAGGAAAAATTAAGCAAGTGCAAATAAATTTATTTTGTGAAGGAAGAAAACTAAGGTACCCATTTCTTTACCAAAAATTCACTGTAAAACTTTCCCTACTGTCAGAACATTTTAAATTTGTCTTCTTACTATCCAATATTACTCCTTCCCTTCATTTTTCCCCTGAATTACAATTGTGTAATACAAAAATGTGAAGTAAGATAGAGGGTGCTTCCAGAATAATATTCTATCAGAAAACTTTTAAACTATTGACCAAAAGGAAAGTATTCATTTAATTTTGTCCTTAAACTAATTCTTTCACTGAAAAAATGGCATATTTATAAGGAAAAACATTTTATGATAGTTAACAGTATAATACTTTTTATTTTACATATATATATAATAAATATATATATAATAAAATGAAAGGAAAGGAATTGTCAGATTGGCTAAAATGTACCATTTCAGCTATTCATACCCATCCTTCTTTTTCATGAAGGTACTATGGGGGTTTTCTGAGTCTGACCTTGTGTAAAAGGATGACAGCAGGTAAAATTTCTGTTGTGGTAAAATCTGTTATAACTGACACCAACAGCAAGTTCCTGACCTACTAGATTCCCAACGGTTTAAACAGTAAAAGTTGCCCTTGACAACAGGAAAATTTTTCACTTGAACATTCTGGTATATATGGAATTTAATCAATCACATTTCCCATGAAATTAACAAAATAGGGCTAAATCAGTCAATAGTTAAGCTGACTAACTGTAAGTTGGCTAAAGATATCTATGTTCACTATGTTAGTGATTATTTAGTCGGGATATGCATAGCCATATGGCATATTCTTGTTTATTATATAAAGTATTTGGTCTTGATTTGTATATAAAAAAGAAAATCACATAATCCTTAAATGACAATTGATTTTTAAGAATAATGTTTATTTCTAAATTAATATATAATTACAAATTAATACATACTTCTTGAATAAAATAAAAATATTTAGGTTGTTAAAATCTCCTTAACCATGTTTCTGCCAAACCTGGTATCTTTCTCAAATGTCACCACATTATCAATATGCTGAATATTAAAAAAAAGATTCCCTGTAGTTTATTCAAGGGTATCCTTTTTATTCTGTGCATTTTTATCATACACTTGTAACATTGGAATGTTACCGAAAATCTAGTTCTTGTCAATTTTGTCAAATTAGAATAATGAGAACAAGGTTTAAGTATAAAGAAAAGATAAAGTTTAATAACTTATGGTGGATGTAGAGGGAAGCAGACTAAGGGCTTAAGAACTCTGAACCTCTCAGTAAGGGTGGTCTGGGGCTTCTAAGGAGTGCAAGAGAGGGAGGTGCTACTGAGGATGTGACTAATGGCAAGTCAGGACTAGACAGACGCCGTGTCTGGCAACAAGATACTATCTCGAATGTCAGTGCAGCACTTTGAGAAACTTGCTGACGACTTGAATTTATCATGAGGAGGGCATAACCTGATGTTCTACACAACCAGTTACAAAATTTATTTGGCTGGGATCTCAAAGAGTTGAGGTATTGTGCTAAGAGTTTCATTGGCCAGGATGAGGCCCACTAAGCCTAGAATGTATGCTTATTTGTACCCCTTTGCACTCTGTTACAATAAATCCAGTCTTCTGGTCATATTGACTGGGGAAGCAGGGTAACTTTGCAACTTCACTTGGCTTTCCCCAGGCCAGTTTCTGGAATTCACAAGCAAGCATTATTTATCTGCTGAATTGAACCCTGTAGTTACAAACTTGGTAATTAGCTTTTGTTCATCAGAATATGAAAAGGAAAAGGAAGATGTATTTGGTATGGTTACGGGAATATACATAATAGAACTTTTATCTTAGTTTTTTTTTTTTTTTTTTTTTTTTTTTTTGGATAGGCAGAGTTAGACAGTGAGAGAGAGACAGAGAGAAAGGTCTTTCTTTTTTTGTTGGTTCACCCCCTAAGTGGCCACTACAGCTGGCGCGTTGCAGCCGGCGGGCTGCGCCGATTCGAAGCCAGGAGCCAGGTGCTTCCTCCTGGTCTCCCATGCAGGTGCAGGGCCCAAGGACTTGGGCCATCCTCCACTGCACTCCGGGCAACAGCAGAGAGCTGGACTTGAAGAGGAGCAACAGGGACAGAATCTGGTGCCCTGATCGGGACTAGAACCCGGGGTGCCGGTGCCGCAGGCAGAGCATTAGCCTAGTGAGCCACGGCGCCGGCCTTATCTTAGTTTTAATAAAATAACATCATATCCTATATATTCTTCCTTCCCCTTCGTATTTCTTGTAAAGATATGTTCAAAATCTTTATATGTCAATCATGAAAACTGCTTAATTATTGTGCTCTACAGTATTTGCTATTATGGATACATTGTGAACTATTTAGCCACCCCGTTGTTGATAAGCACATTGTTTTATGATGAACAACGCTATATGTGTGTATACTGTACCACCTTGTATACACATGCAAGTTATTTCTCTGAGATAGATTCCAAAGAGTGAGATACCTTGTCATAGTGTTTATCCCTTCAGTATTTCAATAGATAGGATTTAATACATTGGTTAGGACACTCAGTTCCCATATGAAGATACCTGATGCCCAGTTCTGGCTCCTGTTTCCAGTTTCCTGCTAATGCAGGCCATGGTTGTCACCCATGAGGAAGTCCTGGATTGAGTTCCTGACTTCCAGATTTGGCCTTGGCCCAGCCCAGCCATCATGGGCATTTGGAGAGTGAACCAGCAGAACAGAGCTCTCTTGTCTCTCTGTCTCATAAATAAATATATAAACATTTTTAAAATCTTAAAAATTGCTCCTGAATGTAGCTATATCAATTTTCACACCAACCTACGATGTATGAGTACTTTTTCTCCCATGCTCTCATTAATGCTGAATATAAGATTTATAAAATAATGTTTATTAAAAACTAAAATCTAAATTAAAATAACATTTTGCTAGTTGGCAAAGATGAGAAAATAGAAATGTTACTGAGAAAAAGTGTTCTGAAATTTGCACTTTCAGTCAGTGTGGAGAAATGCAAATAAGTATGTATGCGCATTGGTATACATATACTTTTATTAAAACATCTATTTATTTATTTTAAAGGCAGAGTTAGAGAGAGGAAGACACATACACAGATACACAGAGTGAGAGCTTCTATCTGCTCCTTCACTCCCCAAATGGCTGCAATGACCAGGCCAAAGCCAGGGTCCTGGAAATATACCTGGGTCTCCCATGTGGGTAGCATGGTCCCAAGTACTTGAGCCATTTTCTGCTGCTTTCTCAGATGCATCAGCAGGGAGCTGGATAGGAAGCACAGCAACTGGGACTTGAATTGACATTCAAATAGGATGCTGACATCACACGCTTAACCCCCTGCACTGCTAATTTACTAGTGCAGTCGCATATAGCTTTTATCCCAATAGCTATAGATTTGTAGCCTGCTTTTTGAAAACTTAGCTTCATAGTTTATTTGTTCTGTCATTAACTCTCTCTCTCTCTCTAATATATATATATATGTTTCTGTAATATCCAACCATATAGGCTTATTATGATTTATTTAATAATTTACATTTTCATTTTATATATATATATATATATTTTAAGATTTATTTGAGAGGCAGAGTTACAGAGGGGCAGAGGCAGAGAAAGAGAGAGGTCTTCCATCTGCTGGTTCACTTCCCATATGGCTGCATCGACTAGAGCTGTGCCGATCTGAAGCAAGGAGCCAGCAGCTTCTTCCTGGTCTCCCACATGGGTGTAGGGCCCAAGGACTTGGGCCATCTTCTACTGCTTTCCCAGGCCACAGCAGAGAAAGCTGGATTGGAAGTGGAACAGCAAGGAATCGAACCAGTGCCCACATGGGATGCCACAATTGCAGGCGGAGGCTTTACCCGCTATACCACAGCACTGGCCCCTTCATTATATTTTTATTTGTGTTTGACTATTTTTTTAGGATAAATTCATCAAAATGGAATTACTGAGACAACATATCTTTTATTTATTTATTTTTTGACAGGCAGAGTGGACAGTGAGAGAGAGAGACAGAGAGAAAGGTCTTCCTTTGCCATTGGTTCACCCTCCAATGGCCGCGGCGGCTGGTGCGCTGCGGCCGGCGCACCACGCTGACCCGATGGCAGGAGCCAGGTACTTATCCTGGTCTCCCATGGGGTGCAGGGCCCAAGCACTAGGGCCATCCTCCACTGCACTCCCTGGCCGCAGCAGAGAGCTGGCCTGGAAGAGGGACAACCGGGACAGAATCCGGCGCCCCGACCAGGACTAGAACCTGGTGTGCCGGCGCTGCTAGGTGGAGGATTAGCCTATTGAGCCATGGCGCCGGCCGACAACATATCTTTTTTAAGTTTGTGTATACACTGGCAATTTGTTTTCTAGAAAGGTAAAGCCAACTTAGAACTTCAGTGTGTCAAATTCATTTTTAAATCCTCTGGGATTTAGCCCTGTGTGTAGACCATAATAATCTCCTATTAATGCTACTTTTCCTTCCATTCCCTCTTGAAGTTTTCCTTCTGCTAAAATATCTTCATTACAAATATGCCTTTGGCCCTAATGAGCCACTATTAGACATTTCCTTGAATGCAGGTGACATTATACATTTAGTAATCCACAAACATGTGTTCATGCAAAAACAGGTTCCCAGGTGTTAATTATGAACATGTTTTTTCTGAATCTGTATTTCCTTTCCTTTAGTCAGAGTGTTTTTCTGATACTCTCTCATTGGTATCTGTAGGAAATAGATTTGGTGAAAGCAAACATTATAGAATGGAAGACCCTGAAAGTGGCTACTGAACTTCTTGGGGCTTTAGAGTGGACATTTCCACCTGAGATGCTCTGGGAAAGGTGACTGGATTCATAAATGTCATCCCAGATGACACCTACATCAACAACAGTGTCTTTTCTGTGATCGCATTGGACATAAGAAGTTCAAGAGCAGGCAACACTAACCTACCATGATTGAAGATGGAATAGTGGTTATCTCTCTGGAGGACTGAGTGAGAAGGGGTGTGAGGAGAAGTTATAGTCTGATGAATATATTTCATGTTTGACTCAAGTGGTGGACACATATGCTTCAGCAAATGTAAAATGTTATTGAGCCATACACCATAGATTTGTTCATTTTATGGAACAATATCTTCCGGTATATATATTTTTGCATTCACCTCCTCCATTAGGAATAAATCAATAGAAGTGTCTTGCTATCAGTTCTTTAGGAATTAGGACTTTACTGAATGGCATTAAGAACAGGAGTGATGTAGTTTATTTAATAATTATTTATTCAGTTTCTACTATGATGCAGGCATATTTAATTCATTTTTAAAAAATCATTCTAAGGGCTGGCGCTATGGCGCAGTGGGTAAAGCCACCGCCTGCAGTGCTGGCATCCCATATGGGCTCTAGTTCGAGTTCCAGCTGCTCTACTTCTGGCCCAGCTCTCTGCTACAGCCTGGGAAAGCAGTAGAAGATGGCCCAAGTGTTTGGGCCCCTGCACCTGCATGGGAGACCTTGAAGAAGCTGCTGGTTCCTAGCTTCAGATGGGCCCAGCTCTGGCCATTGTGGCCATTTGGGGAGTGAACCAGTGGATAGAAGACT